CATGTAAATTTTCAAATATGTTCATGTAAACTTTCTGAATGTGAACATATTTGAAAATTTGCATGAACATCAATTTGATAATTTGCCTAACAATTGTAATCATTTAATAGAACTTGTAAGGGCTGAATGTGAAAAGTATATCGATGTACGAATAAATCATGAAGTCAAATTATTTAATTCGGTAAAATCTACGAAAAGGCAAATATTAAATAAATTAATATTATTTAGAGGACAATAAATATATTTAAATTATTTTGTAGTTTTATTTAATATGACACTAAAATATACTATTTTCTGAATTACAAACTTAAAATTGAATATTTGTTATAAGATGCAATATAATATTTAATATGTAATAAAAATATTACTTAATCCGGATCTGCTTAAAGATGCGCGCGATCAGATTGCCTTCCACACTCCACTTCCCCGGATTTTGCATTCACTGGTACCCATGCATTGGAATTAGATACGGCCAGTCTAGGTGGTCTGTGGTTGAAGTTCATAAATTTAAAGTAGAACCATGTCTTGAAATTGACAATTCTTGTGTTCCACAATTTGTTCCTAAATTTTGATAAACAGTTACTTTTACCCACCTCTTAGCTCTGTCGAGTCTCTGAAGTGATCGTAATATTATGCAGATGAGATCTAGGCCTTCCAGACAGATGGATTTACGAGTTTCGGCTTAGAGACGTCTTGTCACCGACGAGCGGGTCACGAGGAACGAGAGATAGAACGTACAGATGACGCGCCCCCGTGTGTCGAGAAAAAATAATTCATGAGAGTTAAACTTCGCGGGCGGACGTGTTTATATTAATAAATCAGGATTAGGTTGATACTTTCGCAGAGGAAAAGTAGGAATTTATGTGCGGAATGATGTGTTTGCCACGTAGAAACGAATTTAATATAAAGGGACGATGTTTCCAGATATAGAAAATTGCGCAGAGAAAATATTTAGTTTTCGTTTTAAATGTTTAGATAGTGACGTTACAGGGAGTATATTTCATTGATCATTATTTAGTTTGGACTATGTGAGAGAGTCAAAATTGACTTTCCAGGTACAATTTACTAAAATAAAATATAAAAGTACTGAAATATAAGAAATTATAACGCTGATCAAGTTCGTGTTGCTGCGAAACTATTGGTCGAACCTGGTTGAACCGCAATACTCGTCAGACACATTTTATTGCTATTTAGCTTAATTTATTATGCTTATTTTTTTATTTGTATTTTATATAAAAGTTGGCAATTGAGAGTTTTTTGTGACACGATAGAGCTGATGTACGTTATGCGTAAATGCTATAGCGAAGTCAGCGGTTCCCAAAAAGTTTTCAATTAGAAAATGACGCATATTTGAATTTTTATTCTTAAATTTTTCGCAAAGGAAACTGTTAATTATGCCTTCTACATAGCTCAATATTTGACTAAGACAATTCAGTAAAATCGCGCTGTATCATTTCATTCGAAATTGTAGATTTCGGTAATTTCCACATGACTCAAAATTTCATTAACGTATAACCGAAACAATGCCCCCCTGTAAAGTTAAAGCGGCAATAACATTTCTCAACCGAGCATCACTTTGGGTGGGGAAAAAAAAGTCCTTAATGATAATCGATGCCGCGCCATGCCTCCGGGGATCTTTTACCTCTTATTCCCGTATAATTTTCCCGTTCACGAAACCGAGACAGGTCGGTGGCGGCACTGGAGAGTAAAATTTCGGGCGTTTGGAGGCGGGGAGTTTGGTCGATTTAACTTTCAGGCCAGGTAGTGCGTAGTAAATGAATCTGAGGTACGAGGGGTACTAGAAAAAGACCCACCCATGGTATAAACAGTATACCTTGTGCCTAGTTCCTAGTATAGTTCGATGGTGGCAATTTTTTTTATTTGCAACAAAAAAATGGTATTTTTGAAAATAGAACATCGTAAAGTCGTTAAATTTTTAACAATGGAACATGGATGCCGGTTATTGAGGCAAGACGAGCTGCATAGGGGCTCATAACTGTTCCTTGTGGTATACATAATTTTATTTTAGACGCACTTAAGACAGGCATTTTAGTTTTAGGTACAGAAATTTGCCGACATGAAGATTTACTAGTAAATCATCAAAATCGGAGAAGTGTGAACAGGTTTTCCCTTGTACGTTAACTCTTGCAGTTAATAATAAGTTAAAAACAGAACAACAACGGAAAACGAAAATTCGCGTGCATACCCTCGAGCGTCTTGCTTAAATCTGCCGCTGTATGTGCATCTGACAAATGGTACGTCGTATTAACAACCGCTACTCTATCTCGACAACTTCCGTCAACATAACTCGCAACAACTTCGGAATACGGGCGGGAATTTGTGCACTGTGCACCCTGATGCTAATTTGTTCCGGGGGAGGAGTTTTTGCTACTTTTAGGTAAGTAAAAAGTTTCGTTCGTACGCCCGGAGGCGGCTCAAAGGTTTAAACCGGATGTTGGCGGCTTAAAAGCGTGTGAGAATGCATTGTTTAACATAATAACATAGTTTTCTCTGCATAGGGTGTTAGAGATATGCCTTTTATAAATTTAAGTCAATAATGATACAGTTTTTCTAATTGAAAACTATCTTACTTGTCGCAAACAATCATTATATCATAGTCAGTGTTTTCGTCACCAAGTGGTTCATAAAGGAGTGCCTCAGAGGTCTGTTTCAGGTCCTTTATTTGCATGATTTATACCCGTCAGTTTGAAAACAATCTGTCTCACTGCAGATCACATCACAACCATATTATTCTTAAAAGTTTTCTACAAAATAGTATATTTCTCCATTTCTATAGCGAAAAAAGGTTTGATTAAATTTCGTATGACCTATATTCGCAAATGACACCGACGTATCACGTACACTCATTTTATTTGTACTGATTTTTGTTAAATTTTTTATAGTCCAGGCGTTAGATCAGTAAAAGTAGGCTTTTGCGTTCCCCTGAATTTTGCGATGGTTTTTTGGAATAGGCAAACTGGGATTCTTATTCTACATAATATTTGGGATTTTTCTGTACAACAAAATAGATGGCTTCAAATACAAACGTCTGGAATGCTCTACCCGGTAGAGTCTACCGCCTGGACTATTATAGATTTGATGTACGCCGAGAGACGGACGATATATAAAATTTTTAATAGCACAATTCATCTCCCGAGCAATGTATTCCGCAACCGTTCGAGTGAACATAATTCAACAGATATAAATTTTGTAAGAGCATGTTCAGGAAAGTGAGGGCAAAGTTTACAATGCTGTTCATTTTTCTTACGACGTGGTGGTGCGCTTTATATAGAGAAACATTAATATAAATCTCCGAACGACTTAAAAATCTTTCAAAGAATACTTCTGCAGGAGAAAATCTGAATATAAAGCGATGCTAATATTTCGGGCAGCTCTTTTAATTTTACGGGACACCGAGGAACGTAATTTAATTATTAAACTCTTTCCCAAAGTACGTGTAATGTACAACTAATCTGATAGGTTTATTTCACGTGAAAACATTGTTAGAAGCATAGTTGTAGATATTGGGTTCTATATTTCGTTGTTTCTAAATCCATTTATTCAGATAAAAGGAAAATCACCCCTCCGTAGAGGGTATTTTTCTAAAGACTGCAGCGATTTTTCTTACTCTTCCAATGACGTTCTTTTCGCTTTTTTCCTTTCCTTGCTGTTTGCAAATTAGATCGACGTGAATGGGTAGAACGCTTATCAGAAAACTTAACTTGATTAATACTGATTAGCTCCCTTTTGGTCTCCTACTTATCCATCTCGAATTAATTAGCTAAATTATAGGCAGCGTTCGCAAAGGAAATTACAGACGACTGCAGTGGCGGACGTTTCATTAAATTAACCTTATTTGTGAATAATAAACGGCTATCCCGGGAAAACACCTCAAATGTGAGTTTGTCGCCACCCAAAAGTACTTTGACATAATCCAATTGAATGGTTCCCGTTCCTTACTTTTTTTTGGCAATAAAAGAGTTAAATTGAAAATTTATTAATTTTTTTTTATACAAAAATTGTTGGAACCGCTGATTTTTTTTAGCTGTAAGTTTAATATTACTCCGAGGAATTCTGATGAAACGTGATAAATGGAAAAAGTAATTATTCATCATTTTCTATAGAATTTATCATATCAGTTCTCATCATTTTTTTACCAATGTTTCTATTTCCTTTTGGAATACGTTATACAGAATTATGTTATTCGAGGTACTAAAAAACAATTAAATGTTTTTACTGACCTCGTTGAAGCGTTTTATAAGAGTGGCAACGGAAGATCTCGTGGAGGTGTTACCAGGTAGACTTTCTGCAGACGTACCAGTAGCTCCCCCAAGGTCCAACGTCACCTGACGTAGATAATCGATGGGTGGGACCTGGAAAAAAATGTGTGCTCAAAATATGTATTTTTGCTAAGAAACGCAAATGGTGCTTACAGAATAATATATCGCCCCCTTCTCGCACAAGTTTCCGACTTGTGGGCTAATTTTTGCGCTTATATTTGAAATAAAAACAGTTTATGATGTAGAGCTTGATGAAGCTTTGTGAAGGGACATGAGTAGTATAGTTGTTACGATTTCAATTGGAACCTGTAAATCTTAAAGCACAATACCGTATGCACTTCTCCTGAAATTTCTTCTTATCCTTTGACCATGATGTGTCTCGTAATTTATACTCGAATTCGGCGGGTCCGGTATTGGTAAATTAGTCCGCCTGATGTGGAATTGACGGCGGCGCGCTGGTCATCAAAGCAAACCTGTATTGGTACACTGGGTCGTAAATATTTTTTTTTCACTTCGCTTTGTCGCTTTGCCAGTGTCGTGCAGAGCATTGCTTGGCGGGGTATGTTGTTGGTATAATACGTATTATTATTTATTAGTTGATATTATTATTTGTTCATATCGTAACCAGTAAAGGGTAGTAGTTATTAAAATATATGTTATATGTAATTATCTAGTAATTTAGCGTGGCTCTCTGGAGACTCTTTGAAGCGGAGGATAACGGAATAACTCGGGAAAATCCCGAAATAGTGGAACCGGTTTTTGTCGAAAGTATCGAAACAAACTCAAGAGTTTAAAAACAAAGATTTCCACGTAAAAAGTCAACGTATTGTATTAAATATATACGAATGTTTGAAAATTGAAAATAGTGAACAATGTGATAAAAAAGTTAGGATTAATGAATTAACTAAGATATCAAAAAAAGGCCAATTTATCGCGTAATTAACGAAGGTTTGATCACGGTACAATACCAAATTTTATAAAAATTTTTTAAATAATAACGATTTTGTAGCCAAATCAAAAAGTCTTTCCCTTTCATTAATTCAAGTTCAAGTTGTCCATGAAGCAAAACAAAACAAAAGAATGAAATTAATTAAACTCTAGTAATGTGGTATTATATAATTATTAATAATGTTAGTTTTGACAAATTTAAAAATAAAATAATGAAAGTGAAACCAACAAAAGTTAAATAATTATATTGTGAGTTCTTCCTTTTTTCTACAGAAATGTGATATTTTGCAAGACGTAACTTGCCTTTAATATCCAGCCACGTAAATTCTTACCCTTTGTTAGCGTTCGAAATGAATCGCTAACAATGTCGGCCTCTTTCGGTGTGGTTTAACAGAGTAAGTTATAACGAGCGTTCAAATAAAAACGTAGTCGAAGTTGGCTCTGACACATTGGACGTAGGGAGTAGCTTATAGCGACCAACTTAATTTCTCAACGAGCTGTATAGCAGCTGTCAGTTTCAATAACGTTAATGACTATATAACTTTATTTTAAAGAATAATCGTGATAACAATAACAAACAATTAAAGGAGCTGCGGAAAGTGTCCCCCTCCTTGTTATAACAATAAATTAAAGCAGCTGCTGAAAGTGTCCCCCTCCTTGTTCCAAGCACTTTTCACACCTGTTCCTCAAAGAATTAAAGACATTTTCTAAGATGCTCGGGGTATTGTTAATTTCACGAATCTTGTCTATAAGTCGAGCCTGCAGATGGTTTAAATCAGGAATAGGCAGTTCAAAAATAGTGTTTTTAACGTAAGGCCACAAAAAGAAATCACACGGCGTAATGTCACATGACCTCGGTGGAAATTCATGTTCAGCATTGAGACTTATTAGTCGATTTTGGAAAACTTCCCTCAACATATTCATCGTCTCGCCTGCCGTATGTGCCCTTGCGCCATCTTGTTGAAAGTAAAAGTTTGTAATTTCGTTTTCTTCCAACTGGTTAACAAAAGGAGCGATAATTTCTTCTCTATACCTTTGCGCAGTAAGAGTACCATTAAAAAAATAGGTCCATAAATTCTCTTTCGATTGAGAGCACACCAAACTCCAATTTTTTGAGTGTGTAGAGGGCCCTCGACAAAAAGTTATCTGGTTTTTCAGAAGACCACATTCTCATATTCTGTGAGTTTACGTAACCACTTAAACGAAACCAGGCTTCATCAGAAAAAAAGGTGATATTATGAAGTTCACCGTAGTTGTTTAAAAAAAAACATTTACAAAATACAGCCCGTCGCGGAAAATCAACTTCATGAAGTTCTTGCTGACAAGTTAAACGATAGGAGAACAAACGCAAATCTTTTTTTAACACTGTGTGGCAGGTACCGACTAGATACTCCCACCATTTGTGATAAAACACGTACAGAAGTTCTTGGCGCATTTTCCATTATTTGTTGGACATTTTCTTTTAATTATTCAGTCCGCTTTTTAGGTCGGCCGCTTCCTTCTTTTCTTGTTACACTGCCCGTTTCACGAAAAACATTAACACAACGCTGAACTGCACTTTGAAAAATTTTGTACTCAACAACGCCGGGAAATTGATTTTGAAATTCTATGAAACATTCCTCAATAGAATACTTCCATATTCCATCAATCTTGCGTCCATTTCTAAAGTAGGACTCTAAGATAAACACTTTTTGTTCTTGAGAAAACACCATTTTAAACGCTTTATAAAATGAAAATATTCAAATTGATAGCGGGGATATAGCGCTTTGACAGATGACGTTTAAGTTCATTTGCTATACGCTACGCCCTACGTCCAAATTTTCAGAACCAACTTGACCACGTTTTTATTTGAACGCTCGTTATTTTTTAGTCAGCTTATTCATATTTGAGTAGACATTTTTTAAGGCCTGTTTTTGTGCCAACAACCACTAGATTCCCCGTAGCGCGCTTGCTTTTTTTATTAATTTACGCGGGGACTTTTCACGTTTATTAAGACATAGATAAACTTTAATATTCAGCCCGCATAAACTCCCTTGCTTTGTTTACGTCCAACTCCTCGCCTTTCCAGCAATATTCTATAGTTTTTACTTCGTAATTGAACCCGACAAAGTTATTGTTCGAAAAGTTAATTTCTTAAAACGTGACAAACCAGCGGAAAAATATGAGAGCGCCGAGAAATCGAGTTGCTTATTATCGTTTTTCTAGAAAAGCCATTTGCATTTTAAAAATAAATGGTCGGATTCAACTTTCGTCTTTAACCTTATCACGTAACAAGGCGCTTATGCTTAAATCTAACGTTTTTTTTTCTGTCGGCTCAATTTCGTATCTTAGCCGGCTCATTTCTTGCCACACATAACGAATTTAAGTGGGGCGGGGGCCATAATTTTATTATATCGAAGGTGGGGGGCGGTCCCGGTTGTCTGGTATCGCGAGCTTGAGTTACAAAGAGCATTACGCGGATCACATAATAAAAGAGCCTACTTCGATATTGATTCCTGGTTAAAGTGTATCCGAAAAGACGGAACGTTCTGTTCGGATTCCGTGACGGGAATAGGAAGGTCTACTTAACCGCCCCCCGGGGGTGGTGACTTGGATGCGAGGTATCGGTGCGTTCAATTTTATCCGAAATTGCGGGTCGTATTTTTACGCGGGTTGAGAATTTAGGGGAAGGTGCATTCGTAAGGTCGGTTGGCTAAGTCGAACGAAAAAACGTTCGAAATTCAAAACAATCGCATAAAAATTATTGTTTTCAGGCAAAAGAGATGGGTGCTGTAATAATGCAGAGTTGTACAAAATAATATAAAATCTTAACGCGCTCATCTCTAGTTTTTAAACTAGTGGACTATCATAGAGAATGGATGTGGTCTCGCCACGTTGATGCAATAACTTTGTTGGGCAGCTCTAGGCAGGCGGCAGGAGAATTTTGATATAAATTAGTTTGAGGTATACAGGGTGATTCAGAACTTATCCAAAAAAAAAATTCTGGATGTACAGGGGACCCTTACAAATACAATTTTGTAAATTTCGAAATTGATTTAAAAATACACTTCTGCACGGCACTGGAAACTGGTCCACTGTAAAACCTGACCTCGCACAATGCGATCGGTATGGCGGCGTGATAAAAACGGACAAAAGCTTTCGCAAGGAAAGAAATATGTAAATAGAATTTTATCGCACCTATTTTATATCGGCAAATTCAAATGCTTTTGCCTTTATTAATTATTATTAATAAAATTAATTTGTGTTTTTAAATAATAAAATCGTCTGACATACCCGATGCTGCAACAGCAATTGTTCAAAATTTTATCCACTCACGTGTAAACACATTTGGGTCCGTCTTACTCACTTTCTACGAACTAACACAAATGATGCCTTGCTTCACCATAACACAAATACTTCACCATAATACAAATGTTGTCTTGCTTCACCATAAATTGAAACGATATCCATTTTTGATACTTACTACTAAAAAACTGATGTAAATAACACAGATAACAGGTAAAAACTACCGCAACGACGGATTTCAGTATTAGGAGTCACATGGCTCTCCACGCGTATTGCGATTGTAGTGGTTTAATGTGCTATAACTTCAATATTTTTTTTCTCAGAAACTATAGGGATTTTACAAAAATTTTTTTTACAATATTGACTCCATTTCTCATGCCGCATCTATTCCCAAATTTTTTTGGATAAGTTGTGAATCACCCTGTATAATAACAATAACTACAGCAATTTTTTTCAACCCCCGGCCGGGGAAGAAAAAAGAAAAATAAAGGGGTTTTTCAAGATAACTCAAAAGGGGTAGGAGCAAGAAAAAAAGTTTCTTATAAAAGTTGTAGAGAATAAAATTTTACATACAATGGTCTATTAACTTTTTCTTGTACTATTGAAATTAACAGAGTTAGGGAGACTAGAAGTTAAGGGATGATTTTAGAAATTTAAAAAATCGTAACAAGCAGAAGAATGAATGAATTATTGTATAATTCCGCCCTGGTATATTTCAGTCACAACTTCGTCTTCTATCGCCATACCCTGCTCGGTTTATTAGTATTTAAAATTATTCACACTAAATGTATTTTTTACATTTGTTGTCACGATAATCACTATTAGACAAAAGAACGACGCGACGTTGGTATGGAGCTAGAAACTTTCGAAGGTAACTTGATGGACTATTAACTTAATGACCTAAAATATTTTTGTATAATTTTTAAGAAAATGATTTTCAAAATACTTTTAGTCTTAAAATGTTGTAGTTACAAGCATTAACGTCGAGAAATTTGAGGTTTTGTCAATATTAAAACATACTAGTTAACATTTTGATGGAAATTGAAATTATTTTAATTATTAATGAGGTTTAGAACTCTTTATTTGAGAATTAAAGAGGACAGGAACTTACACACAGTCCAAACCTGACTTTTCAGCTAAAACCTATCCACAGTTGTTTGTTTTACTCGCTCCGCACCATCGCATTATCCTGCAACCAATTATGACAGATCAAAGCGAGGCTTATCAACAGATTTGTCCTATTTCGATCCTGCGATGGTTCCCGGTATTGGTAAATTGGGTTTATATTTGTAAACAGCGCCGCTTTGTGGCGGATACTAATTAATTCGAAAATTACTCGACGATAAGGCCCGAATTTCGCTGACTGGATTGCGCCGGACTGATCAATCGAATTTTGCGATTCATTGCGCTCAATTTGACGCAAATCAGCTGCATTGTGCTAATACAAACACAATAATGTCGGCTTTCGACGACTTCCCCAAGTATCTGTCTATACATTGCGGCTTCTCGCGAAGCAATACGAGTGAGTTAGATTCTATGGATACTCTGAATAACTAGAAAGTAATCTAAGAATCTCTATACGTCTATTTAGTCGTAGCCGACTGCGATACTCATTAATAAAAAAATGTAAGTTTGGTCAAATTTATTAAAAATATTGTCAGTGGTGACTAATTTTGAAAATTGAGCTCAGGATCATTCGTTGCTGTTTATTTCTCATAAAACATATGAAAATAATAAAAAATCACGTAATATACAGGGTGTTCGCTGTAAAATATCCCGCCGTACAGTGTCGAAAACAAGAGAAACTTGGCTTACTTGATAGAAAAGTTGGTACTCTGTGTCGGCCAGGCGTAGGGCAACTTCTTCAGGGAAGTGGAGCAACTCCTGCAACTCCTCCAGCTCGGCGCAGTAACCTGTCTGCGCTGCGAGAGGAATCCCTTTCTCCAGCTCTGTAACGAAAGAAAAAGGTCACGGTTGTCGATATAAGCTTACAGCAGAATCACACCAAATTCTGCATTGCTGCAGTGCACTGCTAAGCAATTTGTCAACAACTGAAATTTATGGCCGGTCGCCCAGTGCGGCTGTGTTTGTGCGCCGTTTGCCCGCGCGCGCATTCTTCAACTGGGCGACTAGACCTGTATCTGGGTATGGCTAAATAAATATGGGAACAATTGAGATCGGAAAGACTATAGCTGAAGCTGTTCTACACCAAAAAAATATGATAAAAATGTAACACTGGTGACTATAATTTATATAAAATACGACTAACGATAAAATATGTGTCACAAGTGACCTTATTTGAATAAGAGCCTCCGTTAAAATCTATTTTCTAGTTATTTCGAATGTTCGTCGACAGGAACCAGGACCATTCATACCAAAATAGACCCATTTTTGTTCAATATACACAAGTAACTATAAGTTTAGTGTGGCAAGTGTCTTAGTGGCTATAGATAAATCTCTTTAGATTGCCCAAAACTTTATTTTAATTGTCAAATTAGTCTCTTTAAGTAAATTTTGATTACAGTACTCCAACGCTTCAAAGAAACACCAAAGATAATCTCGTTTTATAAGCGATTCTACTGTAAAATTAAATTAAATATGAAATTTATCGTCGCCATAACGGTGTTTTTATAAGGATTCTAGAGGAATATCATCCCGCGAATCTAGTTGGCATAAACTCCGGGTATACAACGGAGAATAAATGCTGGCTGTTAATTTTACTACACCTTCTGTGTTTGCAAAACCCACCTACGCGCGCGAGGCCAGTAATGCCACCCTTATCTCTTTAATTCCCTTGAAATTTATTTTTGAACTATAAAATTCCTAGGTTCTTTCTACCAGCGGTGGTTTTACAATCCTTAAAAGTTGCTACGGATGGCGTATTGCAGATAACGGTTTTCGAAATGCGGGAAACGGGTAAAAAGTCTCCAAAGTAAAACTTCGCAGTTTTATCGTTGCTTGAGCGTTTTGTGGCGAGACTGCTGTTGCACTCGCTCTTGACGAGATAAGCAGATGTTTCGTCTGTAATATCAACCTCAGTCGGGCAATATGAAAGATAAGGAGTCCTGAATTAGTGGAAAAAGACGGATTTTTTTCTAAATATAATTTTGGTAGCGTATGATTATTAATATTGTTTTTCTTCTTCTTTCTTCCTCTTCTTATAGGAATAAACGGAATAAAACGTTTTTATGAAATAAATTAAAAAGACTGTTAGACATTTCAAACTCAGGTCCTTCCTTAAAATATATTTTTGTACTAATTTGATTTTAAACATACGTGTATAAGTAAAAAAGGTAATTAAATATGCATACACAAAGATATAAAAGCCTGGATATATTTTAATGTAGAAGATTATATTAAAATTGGAGTTGAGTTGTTGCTACCGGTTTCAAAATCCGTATTTTTGCTTTTAATTTTATATTTCTCGTTATGTAATTTTGTACTTAACATCCAGTATACTGAAGCTCACCACGCGCTATTAAATCCATATTGGCCTATAAATGTTTATGAAATTTTGCGGCAACGCTAGAATTTTATAGGCCTATAAAAATATTCGCCCATGTTTCGAACCCAAATAATAATCGTAAATCATTCGAATTATAATTAATTGATTGGTAATTAAATTGTCATATTTATTTATTTTAATGGGTGTTTAAATAGATTAAAATAATTATGGGATCGTTCCAGTGATTTTCCAAACATTTCCATCTATCCATCCATTTTACACATGCAAATATTTTTCCTTAAATTCTTGATTAGTTGTTTCAATACTATTTAATATTCGATTGTGTTGGCTAAATTCGAGCTACTTTACCCTTTTACATGTTGTTATAAAGTAAACTTTGAATTATTTTAGGATGCACTAATAATGGGTGTTTCTGCTGCCTGTCGATGCTGCGAATTGACAAATTTGAAAATTAGTGACGTACAGGACGTTGGCAGTTACCTACTTGTTTGAATAGCTATCACCAAGACGGTCATTTCAAGAAAATTTACAATTATAGAAGAAGGATTTTGCGTGAATGTTGTTGAAATATGTAGAAAATACATTTCTCTGCGCCCAATTCGCAGACATTTATAAAAATCGTTTAAATTATAATTATAATAAAAATTGTTAAAACTTATTGGGGACCTCTGGAATCGTCTCCGACTTACATACTACATAAAAATGGGTGAGTAGCTAGGTTATAGCCGCAAACGCCATTTGGTCGTTTTTTTTGTCCCGTTTATTTGTAGAGAACAATGGTTCAGTTTTAGGTAAATATCAGTTCTACTTTAGTTTGAGGTAAAAGATTTAATAATAAATTGGGTATTGTACTTTTTGCTATTAGGAGCATACAAACCTGTTTTTAATAAAGCAGTGTATTAGATAAATACAGTAGTTCAATTTTAACACTTTCTTTTTTTAATTTGAAGAGGCGATTTCCAACATTTCTGCAACACTCGCAATAATTACGACGCGGTAAGTATAAATATTAAAAAAATCATCTTGCTCTTTCCTCTCCCCCTCATTCTCCTAATCTGAGTAAATTTCAGGCGGCAGGAAGGTAAATAACAACCTAGTCCGCCATTAAAGTCCCACAACCCTCCATCCCCACACATGCTCGTCTTCCCAACCTCCCCGACCCCGCTCGCCACCCCTTCGCCGACTACATCACAAATTACTTCTAATAAGTCGGAACTTTAGAACACGATCTAACAACAAATGTTTCCCCCGGCCAAACTGACTTAAAACTTGAAATTAGTTCGACTTCCTCCAGTTGCTCGAGTTAAAATTCAGGGCTCGCCCTTGGAAGAGTAGAGGGCTATGTGGGGTGAAAAATCCCGGATAAAATTCGTTTTTAAAATCTGTAGAACTCGGGACAAGCGACTGATAACAGAATTATACTCGGTTCGCTCCTCCAGATTTATTTCAGTACTAGAAGTTGTTTCCAGTAGTGGGTCGGCTAAGTTTGTTTTTAAGGGAATATACAGGGTGTCCATTAAAAATTATAGAAGACTTACACGAGAATGGACGACACTTTGAAGTGTATTTATATAGGATTTGTAGAATATTTGTGTATTTTGTTTAATTGAGTATTGATTTTTGTTTTACGTCAAGAACAACTAGATTTTATTAATTGTTTAAATAAATTATTGAATTTCTCGAATTTTATGTGTTATTCTTCAAATAAAATAGTAGTGTTGCACATTCACGTGTTCGTAATTTTATCCTCTATCTGTTACTTTCAAAGTCTGATATGGCGCCCAACAGAAAAAAAAACAGTTGATGTTGCATAACTGAAACTTGTGGCCGTAGAAATTTTCTTTCGACGAAAATGGATTCCTCGTATCTTTTTATCCCTCAGTACTAAATTTCAACTCTTTCTGTTGTCAAATAAGGACGTTAGATGGCATTTTCTAAAATTGTTATTTTCAGTTTTTTCACAATATTGCAGGAACGGCAGCAGGCATCTTTGATATGTTTGGTTTATTTTAATGACCCTGAAAAGGCGCAATTTTTTTCCAATTTGAGCCACCCTTACGGTTTCCCAGATGCCAATGCTGAGCCATGTAAAACGGACCACCCTGTATGACTTTTCCCTATTAATTTTCGTCGTAGGAATCTAGTAGTAAAGCTTGGCTCATTCTTTAACGGATACCCTATATGTATAGAGCTACAGATAAAATAAAAAAAAATAAGCACTTTGATGAGTGACTACGATCAAAATTTATACGAGCCGCCACTGCTCTACAGGCTTACATTGAACGAATAACATAAAAAAATGTATTCTTTCCACATTCCAATCGTAATTTCGATCCCATTCTCCAAATCCACGCGCCCCATACTAATTCGATTCCCGATCAATTTGAATCCTTTTTCGTCACCTAATTCGTCCTGCAAGGATAATTCGCGCCGGGACCCCTCCGGCGTTACTTAACAGCCCCATCTTGCTCCGGAGACCCATCAAAAGATATTCAGAATTAATCTTGCCTTATAATTTCTTCTCTTAATTACTTAATTTGATTAAGCATGCTGAATATTTTACCGGGGGCCCCCTTTGACTAGAATAAATTGGTTACGAGCGCTGCTCTTACATTACCTCGAACGGAAACGCCGTATTCATGGCTTTTTCCCCTGCTGAAATTTAACTCGGTGGAAATTTGCCACAACCCAAAACTGATTAGTGTTACGGGAAAAACGCGAAACGCGAGGGCCTACGTGATCCTGATACACCGCCCCTCCCCCCACACAATTATCCGACATTCCGGGATAATCGTTACAGCGGCAATGTAAGGGAATATTGGGGATGTCTTTCTGTATTTACACGTTTGTTTGCGTGAAACAAATGTTAAACAGGCTGGATAATATGTGGGTTGGAAAACGTCTTCTGGAAAGCCAAATCCGGCCCGAGGGCCTTAGTTCGAGGACCTCTGCCCTGGAAAATGTAGCAGGTGCGCGCGGCAATCGAACGGGGTGATATATACGACTTCATGGCGGGTATAAGTTAGCCGGAAGGGCTTATTTATCTCTGTATAAATTCCTCCATGACTTAATTAAAGTTTGAAAATTGATAACGATTGATCAGTCATTCGAAGCACCAGAGGGCTTTGTCAGTCCCAAAATGAAGATGGGACTCGGTTTGTTACATAGCGATATACACAAACTTGTTTTAAAAATAGAGCCACTTTTTTCATGGCAAATACTTGATTGAATAATACATCTGCACCAAGTGTTAATGGGTCAAAAGCACCTAGATTTTGTAAGACTATTTCTTAAGGAGGATCGGGAGCTACAAAAAAATGCATCCAATTAATGAAAAATTTGATTATTCAATATAGGTTCTTTTGGGAAATGCTATGATGCATACTCTTACAACCGAATTAGGGGTGAAAAAATGCAAATGGTAAGACGAAAAAAATATAGACATTTATCTGAATCATTAATTAATAGTTGGGAGAAAGAAAA